TCCGGGGCGGACCTCCAGGGTCCTGCCGTTGTGGCGCAGGACAGTCATTCCGGACGGCCCACTCTCCGCCGCGCGTTCCAGCCATCAGCCGCAGCCCCGCCGACCGAGACCCGGACGGGCCGGGACCTCGCAGTCCCCGAGGCGAGACCTGGAGCAGAAGCAGATAGATGGCGTGACCAATCAGAGCCAGGCTTTCGCGGGCGCGGCCCCCCGGCAATTGGGCGGCGGAGAGCGGGGCGGGGCTTCCGGTCGGGGCACAGGGGCTTCCGCCGCCGCGGCGCCTCGGATGGCCGCGCTCCGGCTATCGCTCGCGGCCTCGCTCGCGGCCGCCCGCGCCCGGCCGCCCCTCGGCCGCCGCCCGCCGCCCGCGCCCTGCTCCGCGTCGGCCGGCGCCATGGAGCCTGAGCCCCGCTGGCTGGCGGGGCTGCGCTTCGACAACCGTGCCCTGCGCGCGCTGCCGGTGGAGACGCCGCCGTCTGGCCCCGAGGGCGCCCCGTCCGCGCCGCGGCCCGTGCCCGGCGCCTGCTTCAGCCGCGTGCGGCCCGCGCCCCTGCGGCAGCCGCGCGTCGTGGCGCTGTCGGAGCCCGCGCTGGCGCTGCTGGGCCTGGGCGCGCCGCCCGCCGACGCCGCCGCCCGCGAGGCTCGTGAGGCCGAGGCCGCGCTCTTTTTCAGCGGCAACGCGCTGCTGCCGGGCGCCGAGCCCGCCGCGCACTGCTATTGCGGCCACCAGTTCGGCCAGTTCGCCGGGCAGCTGGGCGACGGCGCCGCCATGTACCTGGGCGAGGTGTGCACGGCGGCCGGCGAGCGCTGGGAGCTGCAGCTCAAGGGCGCCGGCCCCACGCCCTTCTCCAGGTGTGTTTGCGCCCGTACCCGCGGAGCTGTCCTCCCCGGTGGGGCGGTTGGGGGGGAGATTAACTACGGAAAAGTGTGACGTGGGGACGTAGAACGTGGAGCGTAGCAGCGCCCGAGCCAAAGGCCCTGAGGCCAGGACAGGAGGCGAGGGAGCAGGTTCTGTGGCTCCTGGCCGCTTCGGAGCGCCCGTCTGCCTGGAAGAGGGGGGGGAGGGGAGGGTCCTGCTGCCCCTCAGATCAGGCTGAGCGTCTGATCACACAGCGCTGGTAGCTGCCCATGCTCTGTTCTCATAAACTATCCAGAGAGTTCGGAGTCAGTTCTACGTGCAGCACGCTCATGTTTACCGCGTGCCCAGCCCTGCTGCCTGCTCGGCGCACTCGGCTTCCGGCTTCCTCTGAATGCCGGTCGGGCAGTCAGCTTCCCTCCCACACACTTTAGCACTGCAGATGCCAACTGTGCAGCCGGTGCTCTGGACCGGGACAGATCCTCGGCCCAGTGGACCTTCTCCCAGGCCCGGGCTTCCAAGCACTTGGGGGGCCAGCCATGTTCTGACCCTGCAGTGAGGTGGGCAGTGTCAGATGTCCATCCAGGGGCTCATGGGCCAGGGCCGGGGTCCAGATGCCCACAGCCTGAGCCAGCAGGGCGCCCTTCCCGCAGCTGTCATGCCTCTCCTGTGCACACAGTGCTGATAGTCTCTGCTCCTTTTCACTAAAAAAGTTCATATATTTAGCCCATATTTGTTAAATGCTTATTGAATGGCTGAAAGAATCACACCTAACTTGGCGTTTTATGTTCCAAGAAATCCCGAGGGTGTGTCTCTGGTCTGGCCCCTCCCATGAGCTCTCCCCTCCCCTCCCTGCAGGGACTGAACCGAACCGGGCCCCCACCTCTAGCAGCGCCACCTCAGATCCTCAGGATAGCTGGTCCTTCCTCATCCCCCAGTCTTCAAACCTTGGTGTCTCTGAAACGTCCTGAGTGAAGCCTGGCACCCGCCCCACCCTCCTGGAACAACCCGCTCAGAGCTGTCTGCACTCGTGGCCGGCAGAAGCATTTCTGCTCCTTGGGGTCACGGGTAGATGTTTATCGCCCTGGGGCCTTCACATTGTATGAGCATCTTTCAACTTTATGTGTTCATTTTAATCATTTGTTTTTGCCATTTATAAAAAACATTTTTGTGAGAGTAATCTGCTGTTGGAAGTTGCTTTTAATATTTGAAGACTTGAGCTGTAAGTCAGTGTTTCCAGACCTGAGGTCCTTTAAAAGAAAGAGGCTGTTTGACCCTTAACCAGATGTGCACCCACCCACCACCCCCAGCATTTCCTGGGGTCCCCAGCCTCAACAAGGCTTGAGGCTAACATCTGAAGTGGTGTGAGGGGCTTAAGGCCAGCAGCTGCTCGAGTCCCCCCGGCGTGGGTTTTGGGGGGCGCGCAGGTGCCTTCTTGCTTCTGCCTCCCATGGGGGTTGGGATTTCAGGACGGCCTCTCCTGCCAGGTGCAGAAGAGCTTGTCCTCAGCTGGGTCCACCCCAGCACTTTGGCTGGGAACAGACGTGGGCGCCCAGGAGAAGGGACCATTGTCACGTGTCCATGCGGCTCTCTGGGGGCAGGGCCACCCTGAGGCCCTGTACCCTTGCTGTGTAATCATTATTCAGTTCTGCTTTCTGCTTTGGGCACTTTGCCCCAGGCAAGGAGATAGGCAGCTTGTTTTCTGGATCATTTTTACCAGATCCACAATTAGCTTGGACTGTACTGGCTTCCTCCTAAACAGGCTGGGGTGGGGGTGGGGCGGGTGTGGAGTGACATTTGAGGACGAATTACAGACTAGAAGTGGGTGAGTGGAGTGCAGCTGTGGACTGAGGGTCTCGTCAGCCAGAGGCAGGCACAGTCACCCTGCAGACAGCCCCAGGGTGACTGTCAGGCCGGGTTTCTAGAGGTGTCACTCACACCTGGAATGAGCCACACCCAGGCTCCCAGGTGAAGGCAAGGCAGGAGGCCTGCAGAGATCTCCACTGACTCCCGGCCTCCCTGGCCCCGCTCTCCAGGCCTAGGCCCCAGCACCCCAGACTCACGCTGGGCCCGGCTCTGGCCTCTTCCCGGCAGAGGACGTGGGCAGGCGTGCACCCCGGGCACCTTCACTCAGCCTCGGTGTCCTTCTGCAGGTGAGATGGTGTCTTCCCGCCAGTTTTTGTTCTTTCCGAGAGAATTTTCCAAACTGTTCCAGGTGCCTTCCTGCCTGGGAGAGTGCTGGCACACTGCCATGCCCTGGGCCAGGCCAGGAAGCCAGGCCTGACCCTGAAGGGCAGAGATCCAAGCTCACTTTGTTGTTGTGTTTGTTTGCTGGGTGGGGGCTCTTGGAGGTCGAAATGTCCAGCGCCCTTCATCTTACGAGGAGGGGCTGAGGACGTGGCTCATGCAGGCCAGCTGTTCTCGTGTGCTGCTACCACTTTCCTTCTTTAATTTTAAAAAATAATAAGAGTTTCCAGTCCAGCACGTAAGAAACTTTGGAAATCATCACTCCACTCTAAAAAGTAAAGAGCTGAACAAACAAAAATCAACAAGTCTTCTTAGATCTGCAAGAAAAGTGAGGTCAGAGGGCAAATTGCTGCCCCACCCCCCAAATTGGAGAGACTGACAGGCAAATACAAAGAATTACGAGTTACCAGAGCGGAAGTCTGCACAGATCCTTGCCCTGTAATTGGTGAATTGCTGGAGGCTCAGTGTGTACGAGTCAGTTGAATATTTCAGGGCCCAGTCGTAAGCGAGCCCCGCACTCTGGTGAGTTTTACCTCCTGGAGCTCTCCTGTCTTCTCACAGTGAATATTGGTGGAAAATCCCTTTGTGCTTCTGGCAGGAGGGGGGAAAAGGAGGTCTATGGAGTACACCAGAGCACTCTGTTCTGAACAAGGCTGCCCTTGGGGGAAGCTAATTAACCACAGCCTGACCTGCTGGGGTGTTATCAGAGTCCCTCGGACCTGGGGAAGGGAAATGCCCAGCTCCAGTGCCCTCTGGCGGAGAGGAGACTGAAAAGCACATATGGAAGCTCTCAGTCCAGAGGCACAGGGTCCTTGAGAGTCTGAGGCCTCCACCTGACACCTATGACCCACCTCTACATCACTGAAGGCCTGCTTACAGTAGTTCCTTTTACGCCATACATCATGCCTGGCTATCAAGAAAAAATTACAAAACATACTAAAAGGCAGAAAACACAGTTGGAAGAGACAGAGCCAGCATCAGAACTAACCTCAGACATGGCAGAGATGTTGGAATTATCAGACCAACACAATTCCAATCGTGTTGGAATTTAACACAGTTATGATTAATATACTCAGGGGTCTAATGGATAAAGCAGGCAGCATTCAAGAATAGATGGGCAGGGGCCTTTCCTGGTGGTGCAGTGGTTAAGAATCCGCCTGCCTATGCAGGGGACACGGGTTCATGCCCCGGTCCGGGAAGATCCCACATGCCGTGGAGCGGCTGGGCCCGTGAGCCATGGCCGCTGGGCCTGCACGTCCGGAGCCTGTGCTCCGCGAAGGGAGAGGCCACAACAGTGAGAGGCCCGCGTGCCGGAAAAAAAAAAAGAAGAATAGATGGGCAGGACTTCCCTGGTGGTGCAGTGGTTAAGAACCTGCCTGCCGGGGCTTCCCTGGTGGCGCAGTGGTTGAGAGTCCGCCTGCCGATGCAGGGGACGCAGGTTCGAGCCCCAGTCCAGGAGGATCCCACATGCCGCGGAGCAGCTGGGCCCGTGAGCCATGGCCGCTGAGCCTGCGCGTCCGGGGCCTGCGCTCTGTAGCGGGAGAGGCCACAGCAGTGAGAGGTCCGCGTGAAAAAAGAACCTGCCTGCCAATGCAGGGGACACGGATTCGAGCCCCAGTCCGGGAAGATCCCACATGCCGCAGAGCATCTAAGCCGGTGCACCACAACTACTGAACCTGTGCTCTAGAGCCCACGAGCCACAACTACTGAGCCTGCATGCCAGAACTACTGAGCCCACACACCTAAAGCCCATGCTCTGCAACAAGAGAAGCCACTGCAGTGAGAAGCCCGCGCACAGCAACGAAGACCAATGCAGCCAAAAATAAATAAATTTATTTATTTTTAAAATAAAATAAATAAAATGAGACTAGAGGAATTCCCTGGTGGTCCACTGGTTAAGACTCAGGCCTTCGCTGACAAGGGTCTGGATTTGGTCCCTGGTCGGGGTGCTAAGGTCCCTGAAGCCGCTCGGCATGGCCAAAAATAAATAAATAAAACCTTTAAAAAAAAAAAAAAATAGATGGGCAGGCAGAGCAACTAAGCCCATGCGCCACAGCTACTGAGCCCATGCTCTAGAGCCCGCAAGCCACAACTACTGAGCCCACGTGCCGCAACTAATGAAGCCCTCATGCCTAGAGCCTGTGCTCCACAACAAGAGAAGCCACCGCAATGAGAAGCCCAGGCACCTCAACAAAGCCCATGCGAAGCAGCAAAGACCCAACACAGCCAAAAATTAAATGAATAAATAAATAAAAACAGAAAAAGAATAGATGGGCAGTGTAAGCAGAGAGATGGAAATTCTGAAAAAGACGAAAAGGAAATGCTAGAGATTTCTAGCAAAAACACTGTAACAAAAATGAAGAATGCCTCTGATGGACATGTTGCTAGACTGGACACAGATGAGGAAAGAATCTCTGAGCTTGAAGATATCTCAGGAGAAACCTCCAAAGATAAAAAGCAAAAAAAAATTTTTTAAATAAAGACTGAAAAAATCCAAACACTCACCAAGAATTGTAGGACAAATGCAAAAGAAGTAACACGTGTAATAGGAATACCAGGAGAGAAACAGAGAAAGAAACAGAAGAAATATTTGAAGAAATGACTGAGAATTTCCCCAAATTAATGTTAGACACCAAACAGATCCAAGAAGCTCAGAGCACACCGAGCGGGATGAATGCTTCCCCCACCCCCACCAAAAGACAAAAACAAAAGAACTATACCTAGGCTCATAATTTTCAAACTACAGAGA